CTCTCCTCCCAGGAGATATGCTCCAGTCCCCTCCTCTTCCTCATAGCCCTCCGCTGGACTCTCTCCAGCATCTCCTCATCTTTCTTGAACTGGGGAGCCCAGCACTGGGCACAGCACTGCAGATGGGGCCTCACCAGGGCAGAGTAGAGGGGGAGGAGAAACTCCCTTGACCTGCTGGCCACACTCCTCCTAATGCATCCCAGAATCCCATTGGCCTTCTTGGCACCCAGGGCACACTGCTGGCTCATGGTCAACCTGTTGTCCACCAGGACACCCAGGTCATGGACAGGCTCAATAAGGAAGGGGATTGCCCCTCCTGGACTCCCCCAGCCCCACATCTACATCCATCCTCCACTGTCTTTCTTCACAGGGTGGATAACAACCATCTCCTCCTGCTGATGATCCATGTCTTTCGGGAGAACGAGGAACAGTTGTTCAGGGTAAGGTGGTCACCACTGAGCTTCCTCAAAGGACCGGCTGCAGTGCCTGCGTCGGGCTGCGGGCTGAGAGTTCTTTTCTTTCTGCACAGATGATCCGAATGAGCACCGGGCACATGGAGGGGAACCTGCAGCTGATCTACGTCCTGCTGACGGATTGCTACGTGTACCTGATCCGGAAAGGTATCCCATCCCGACAGCCTTGGTGCGCAGCTGCAGGGAGGGAGGCTTGCTTGATCCATGGCTCGTCCATAAATTAGAGCACTGTAGCTTGCTGGCAGCTCCTGCCAGTTCCCCCGTGTCCCCCGGTGCGGTGGCAGTCTCAGCAGGGAGCTCAGGTTGACATGTGCCCCAGAAGCCCTGGGACACATGCTCCGGGGCTCTGTGCTGCCTGGGACACGGCACGGTTTGCAGGTCTGTCGCCACTGCTGCGCGGTGGCCTGGATCTGGGCAGCGCTGGGGTCCTTTGGCCCCCTTCACGTGGCTCTTTGTGTCTGTGCCAGGGGCAGCAGAGAAGCCGTACATGGTGGAGGAGGCCGTTTCCTATAACGAGCTGGACTACATTTCGGTGAGTGCAGCCTGGGTCGGGGGAGCCAGTCTGGGGGTTGGTCCTCACCCCTCCGGCCGCAGGGTGTTAGGAGCACCATGGTGGGGTGGTTTTGTGGGGCTCTCTGTCCCCAGGGAGCGTTTTGACCAGTGAATCCTTGAGACTGGGAGAGTTAGAAGCGATCTCCCTCAAATGCCACCTCTGCGGGTGCCCAGCTTGCTCGTATCTGTGCGTGGGCAGCAGAGCGACCGCTGACCTTCTCCCCCGGGTGACCTTCACCACCCCTCGGCGCCCGCCTGGCTCCTCTGACTGGTCGTATGTGGCGCAGGTGGGGCTGGATCAGCAGACGGTGACTCTGGTGTGCACCAATCGGAGGAAGCAGTTCCTGCTCGACACCGCGGACGTGGCTCTCACTGAGTAAGCTGGGACCGGGCAGCGAACCGTGGGGCTTTCCTCCCGGGGTGCGGGACCGCTGGCCGGCACCTTGGACTCCCGGCGTGACTTGGGGAGTGCGAGAGGCTCCGGAGACAGCCCTTGGCGACAAAGCCTGGCGACCAGAGGGGGTTTGGGCTTTGGTGTGATGCCACCAGCTAAACCCTGCAGGCGCTGGACGATGCAGACTGCGTGTCCCTTGTGTCGCTTGGGGTCAGCAGGGACGAGGACTGGAGTTTCCAGGCACGTCCCCAGGTCTCTCTGCGTGTTGTCAGCTCAGGGAGGTGACCTCGTTAGGGCCTGGATGGTCGTACTGGGATCCTGTGTTGGGATGAGTGCCCATCTCCCAGTCTCACCCGTGTCCTTACTGGAGTTCAGGATTTGCAATCCCTGTTGCCTTTTGGTCTCTGGGTTGATTTCGAGACCCTTTGGTCTGGAAAACCAGGCGCCCACGTTGAAGGGAAGCCCCTTCGGCGTCAGAGCAGGTGAGGGAGATGAGGGGCTGTCTGCCCTGGCCTCATCAGCGATCTCTGTCTCCCTCTCAGGTTCTTCCTGGTCTCCTTGAAGTCAGCCATGATCAAAGGGTGCCGGGAGCCCCCATACCCCAGTATCCTCACGGACGCCACCATGGAGAAGCTGGCACTGGCAAAGTTTGTGGCCCAGGAGTCCAAGTGCGAGGTGGGTTTGGATATTGTGGCCGTCACTATGAGCCGGGGAGGCTCAGGGGAGACTCCCTCCCGTTGACTTCTCCGCCTGATGCTTGCAGGCCTGCAACGTGGTTGTGCGTTTCTATGGCCTCGTTCACTGGGAAGACCCCATGGACGAGGCGCTGGGACCTGCCAACAGCAGCTCCACCTCCGCCGAAAACGCAGTCACCAAGGACGGCATCCTGCACTACAAGGCGGGGACCTCCTACCTGGGCAAAGAGCAGTGGAAGACCTGCTTCGTGGTGCTCAGGTGGGCGCCGGGGCTGTGGGTTGGGACTGGGGTCGGCCAGGGCTCGTCGGAGAAGGTGCTGGGACCAGTGTGCTGCCCAGGAGCTGCTTGGGAGATGGAGAGGACCCATCTTGTCACCTGGCAGGCTAAAGCCACCAGTTGTGGCTCGCCAGCCACCGGAAAAGGTGGAGGGCAGGGCGGGAGCAGCCGGGGGCCGAAGGCAGAGGGTGTTTGCGCAGTTGCTGGAGCCGAGCTGACTGCAGTTACCACCTCTCTCATCTTCCCAAACGGCAGCAACGGGATCTTGTACCAGTACCCGGACCGCACGGACGTCACGCCTCTGCTCTCCATCAACATGGGGTAAGCAGCCAGCAGGGTCTGGGCATCTGGGGACCAGGAGCTCCTCGGGACGTTCAGGGATTGTTTCGGGGCCAATCGTGGTCCAGTCCGTACCGATGCCCGTCTGCTTTGGCTCCGGTGCGTGTAGCTGGAGACGGGCTCGTTTCCTCCCGGATTTTGCATGCCAAGCCCCCCGTTTGACAGGGAATTGGCCTCTGAAGGGCTGACGTGCCCCTCCGAGAGCCACGCCGGGAGATGTGCCGCGCTCAACTCTGGCTCTACCATGTTGTGTGGAGATGGAGGCCGTCCTTGGGTGTCACGGATGGGAACCGAGCGCGTGGGGGGGAAAGGGGAGCCGTGCAGCGCAGGGAGGGCGGGTGGAAGCTGTGGTCAGGCCCGTCCCGTCCTGCTGATCTCCATCCTCCTCCTCCTCTCTCCCAGCGGCGAGCAGTGCGGGGGATGCCGGCGCTCCAACACCACCGACCGGCCCCACTCCTTCCAGGTGATCCTGACGGACCGGCCCTCCCTGGAGCTGAGGGCTGAGAACGAGGAGGACATGGCGGACTGGATGCAGTACTTCTGCCAGGCCGTCTCCAAGGGGGTGAGCCGGGGACGGGCCCCC